CGGCCGCATATGGTCCGATTTTGTTGCGGTTTGTTTTGTTGAACTCGAAATATCCTAAGGAAGATTTTGAGCCCAAGTTTTTTTAAAATTGGTCCATTCTTATGGATTTTAGAGAGGGGGGATACTTACTTATTGAACGCCCCTCGTACAAGAGCCCCACTTCGGCGTTTAAGGTCTTCTCTTATATTTTCATTTTAGACTCTGTAAATTTTCGATGAACATTGCAACTTGGCGTGGCCGGCGCGGCGTGGTAATTCGCACGTGTAACCCAGTCTGCGGAGAGGGAGAGGCTACGTTCTCAAATGCTTCAGCCGTAACCGGACGCAACCAGCTTACAAGTACCAACTTAACAGGGGTGGAGGTGTAGAGAGCTCCAACTTTCCGCGATCCTGCATTCTCTTATTTAAGCATGTATACGAGGTGTGATGCAACTTGGAAGCTACCCATTATGATTTTCACACGATCCCATCACATAAAATGAAGCTCGGAGATTTCTTTATTTCAAGGATGGTTTTTGCGGTATTTGAGGGCCTGGGGGTATGATTCCAACTTCAACTAGTTTATTTTGTTGTATATTGATGTGAGGGGCTTTAACAAAAATATACCTCGATGAAATCAAGAGGTTTGGCGATTTTTTATTCTTATAAACAATAATATAATTAATAATATAATATATAATAATATATTAATAATATATTATATATTATAATAATATAATTCTTAATATCACAATTCAATATTAAAGAAAATTTTACTTGGTTAAAATTAGGGTTAAAAAAAATCCCTGAGAGATTCCTAGTAAATGAGAATTCAGTGTCGAGCGTTTAGATCCGATATTCTCCTCGCATGTTTGATCGCTTCCCGTTGCACCCTGCCCAAACCTTATTAATTGCATCGGTGAGAGTCAACTGCTGGTCATCCAGCTTTACGAACGCTACAGTTCCGATTTTTCCGATAAATGCTTCGGTTTAACCGCATCTTTGTTAATTTTTCCATAATAGGTCGATATGGAATTTAGATTTAGAATTTTGTTTTTATTTGAATTTTATTTTTAAATTTAGATTTAATGAAAATTGAATCAATATTAATCCGACGCATGAAGCGCGCTAGTTCTACTTAATTTTTTTGAGAGAGGGTTCGCATGACTCGCTTTAAATGTGATTTTGTTAACAATCAAAAGATTTGAATTGAATTTACTCCAAGGAACGTGGAACCTCAAATCTAATTGAAATGTGTTCACCGAATGTTTTTAGCATCTGTGTATAATTGGGACCAAAAGTGAAAGTTTAAATTATTTCGTAGAGAGACTTGAAAAATGTGCTTTTACAAAATTTCCGTGTATAGATACTAAACTTCGACGTGTAAAGGACCAGACAAAATTTTGGCACCAGATCTTCTGAAAATATGTTTAAGCGAGACTGACATGTTGCCTTTGTCTCCAAGGAATGATAGAAATTGTTAATTTAATTTTCTCTTACAGAAGAAAATATCGAGGGAAATAGGAACTTCACGTAAATTGGGATTTATCGACGGTGAAACTACAAAGATGCCAATCTCGTTTACGGCGTGTTTCAAAATCTCCACTCCTATTTTATTCTATCAAAGGAGAACGGACAAGCATGTTACTAAGAAATTTCATAAACTACTTTTCACGGTAGAAGAGGAAAATCAGGAAAGTTTTAAAGAAATGACGTTTAATGTTTTCCTATTTAAAAATTAAATAAAGCCGTGCGGAATCTGCAGTGTCACAAACCGAGAACCGCATTTTTGCAGTTTCATCACCGATTCGCTCCCATCCAATTTCATGGTCCTTATGATTGGGCACAACTTCAATGACCCTTGAATCCTACTACTTAATCCTATTGTTTTTTCTTCATATTTTAACTATTTATGTGTTTAACAATTCTGTGGCCAAGACCCCCTACTGTATAATCTATGAACATTATGTTGCACCACTAATATTTCTGTAGTTCTATGTAGAAGTATTCATTCTGTATTTTCGCATGCTTCCTCATAGTTTTATGTTAAATATTTTATGTGAATCATTTATTTGAATGCTCACTAACACACATCACCTTGTCAATTTGCACATTAACCCGAATAACAAAACTAACACTAATTTTTCTCTTTCAGCAATAAAAACCCTGGTAAAATTTGGTAGTAGAATCTCTCTTCCAAAATACCATAGACCTACAGCCGGCTGTAAGATTTCCAATAGCTTCTATAGCCGGCAACACAATTTCTTATAGCCTTTTATAGCCGATGGCGACTAAGCAACAGCCTGGCGATAAAGTGTATGCTAAACGTTACTAATTACGGATGCTAGAACTTAGTGAGTTTTTGGACTACCGCTCTCTTTTTGGGCCGCAGTATCTTGATTTAATTTGCGAGGAAAGCTCCGTTCTTCTGAGGGATGCCTGACATTCCTAATATGCTGGAGCGCCTTCAATTTCGTATTATACTGTGCAATACCTCTGGTGTGAAATAGTTGCTTCAAGCGCCGCGGTACACTGCAGCGCGGCGCGGCGGGCGGGCAGCCAGCGCTGAACGCGCACTGGCGCCTACAAACCTAACAGGGATACTTCACGCGTTGCGCAATGCGTGAAGTATCCCTGTTAGGTTTGTAGGCGCCAGTGCGTCGCCGCTCCGTTTTGTGTTAGGCTCCAATATTTAATCTCGCGGAGTCAGCGTTTTTCAACTCATGACTTTGAAATGTTTGCACACTCTGTATGGATTATTCTAATTTTAACTGATGAAAAAAAATATGTAGTAAAGGAAATTATAAAGTGCGTTTTGTAAATATCACGGTGATTCCGTACAAACTTAAGGATTTACAAAGCACAAGAATTTCTACTCAATTTCTTATAGCCTTTCAAAGCCGATGGCGAAAAAGCAACAGCCAGGCGATAAAGTGTAAAGCTCGGCGATAGGAACTATAGCCCGGCTGTATAATTTTTTATCGCTTCGTGTAGCCCGGCCATATGATTTTTTCCACTTTCTACAGCCAGCTATATGATTTTCTATCGCCCTCTTCAGTCGGCTATAAGAACTCCTATGGTATTTTGAAACGCAGCTCCTATCGCCAATTTTTACCAGGGAATACCCACTCCTCAAAAACAATAATGCAGATCTGTCATACTATATTTTATTTTCCGGTTTCCAGAGACAATACACTGTCACATATGATTTTACGCAAGATCATTTCATTCAAATATTTTGAACGTATTTACCTCAAACAGGGATGATTGTGGGAACTGCATTTATATACGTCATCCTTTTTGTGATTAGTGAATATGACCATGATCTTGCGGGCACGTTTTGACAGAATACTGTAGTCTGAAACCTGAAATCTTCATATATTCTTGCACTTCTCCACCCATGGGATCCTATGGCTCCCCATGAAATCCCCTTGGGGACTCATCGGAAACTTGCAGATCTCCATAGGACTGTTCTTACAGGGATGTAGCGGTTGAATATTGGAATTGAAAAACTGAAAGCTCCCACCATTGCCGAGATAGGGGCTGGGGCCGTCCCTAAAGTACGTAGCGCTAAATTTGCGGTTATTTGACACCCGCACTCTCCTGTATCGCTCCGTAACGCTGTGCTAAACCTCCTTCCTAAAAAATTACGTAACGCTTGCCCGGACCTCCCTCTTCCCCATTTCGATGAAAAAAAAATCCATACATAACCTTACATTTATTGAACGAGTTGGCGTTTCTCCTTATTAAGGAAAATTAAAAATAATTCAGAGGATTTTTTCGAGATTCTTTTAAACTTCTGAAGACGACTGACAAAAGATTCTGCAAGAACTCGATAAAAAGTCAGTTTAACTCGCGCTACTTAACGCTTCGCTCTATTCCCCCACCTCCCTGTAACGCCGCACAACGCTAGCAGAGAGCGCCCCCCC